CTATTGCTGGAAGTCCTATTCTATATGTAATACCACATCTTATATCAAATTTATGCAAATCGATTTAGAGCAAACTTGATACACGCCGCACTCTTCAAAATTTGATCTCAATTAGACACCCGTTTGAAATATATATGAAAACTGTGTCTGTATCTGTCTTAATTCGATACAAAATTTCGTGTCACTCATTGTACCATTTAGTGCAAATTCAAGGATATATAGGGACTTTAGTGCACCATTTACCTAAAATCGGACGAAAATATATATCGGAGCTTTATCAAAATCTGAACCGATTTTCACGAAATTTAACACACATCGTTCTAGACTTAATTTAGTAAGCTGTGCCAAATTTCGTGCAAATCGAAAGATATATAGGTACTTTGGTGCACCATTTACATAAAATTGGACGAAAATAAATAAGGGAGCTATATCTGAATCTAAACCGATTTTCCCGAAACTTATCACACATCATTCTTGACTCAGTTCAGTACGCTATGCCAAATTTCGTGCAAATCGTAGGAAATATAGGGACTTTGGTGCACCATTTACCTAAAATCGGACGAAAATATATATAGGAGCTATATCTAAATCTGAAGCGATCGCCACGAAACTTAACACACATCTTTCTAGACTTAGTTCAGTACGTTATGCCAAATTTCGTACAAATCCAAGGATATATAGGGACTTTTGTTAACCATTTACATAAAATCGGACGGTAATATATATGGGGGCTATATCTAAATCTGAACCGATTTTCACGAAACTTAACACACATCAATCTAGACTTAATTTAGTACGCAATACCAAATTTCGTGCAAATCGAAGGATATACCTACCTAAAATCGGACGAAAATATATATCGGAGCTTTTTCTAAATCTGAAGCCATTTTTCCCAATTTCAATAGGGTTCATCCTTGGGCCAAATAAATGAGCTGTGCAAAATTTCATCCAATTCGAATCTAAAATGTGACCTGTACTTTGTTTACAATTTATAAGCAGACGGACGGCCATGCCTAAATCGTCGTAAAAAGTGACTCTATGGATATCTCAAAAGGAACCCTGTGTCCATCTCGTTTTATTTTGCCTGCTACATACATATGCACAAAGACACAACATGACCTAGCCAACGAAGTAACTGCAGCTCGATCCGTTGCAAAGCGAAAACTGCACCTGTTCTAAGTGCTGAGTCGCAGATCGTGATCCTTTACACATTGGCGGGGGTCGTCAACATTAGGGGCGTTTTGTTTTCTTTTTCGTTGGTTTTTCATAGAAGGAGAAGTTTTTTGAGTGTGGGCAACTAACCCGATGCCTCTACCCATTTTTGTATAGTTCTTATGGGTGAACTCTTGCCTCACTATTTCAACGGATGATGAAAATAGCTACCACTTTCAATGCCGCACCGAATACCCCACATCGTATCGATTTTCACTCAATTTTGAGCGAAAACGAATTCAGCGAATTAATTTGGAATTAAATCATTAAGCCATTTCTTTATCCTGAAAACATTTCCGCTTATTCCTCCCTTATCCTGAATTCAACAACATTTTCCCTATTGGATAAAATCGCCTGGCCGATGAATACACAGAATTAATACTACTGGCAAATTGTTAAATTCTGAAACCTATGCAATGAATAAATGGAGTGACTGACGGACCGACAGAATGGAATGCAATGATTACAATAATCCTTTGCCTTTGTTCGTGGCTTTTAAATCCTTTCTATTGAAATTATGCCGTTCTGTTGGAGCATTCTATTATTTTTTTCTCGATTATTGTTCGATGCAGTGTATTTTGAATGACATTAATGCAAAAATAATCGGAAAATGTCGAAGAATTTTTTTTTTGTTTGTCTTCTAGGCACATTTCATTTGATATGCTCCTCCTTTACTGCCTTCTTTTCTATATAATTTGCCCGGTATGTGTTTGATGTCAGCAATTGGGATTTAACAAATATTATCAATAATTAATCAGTAAGGAAAGCATTAAAGTCGGGCTGGACCGACTATATGAGATACCCTTCATGTACTGTATGTATCCTTACAATTGCATGGCAATGTTCCCTCGAACATACTATATCGAAATCTGAACCATCTTTCTAAATTTTATTCAGTATGATATGCCAAATTTCGTCCAAATCGAAGGATATAAAGGGAATTTGGTGCACCATTTACTTTAAATCGGACGAAAATATATATGGGAGCTATATCTAAATCTGAACCGATTTTCACGAAACTTAACACACATCTTTCTAGACTCAAGACAGTACGCTACGCCAAATTTCGTGCAAATCGAAGGATATATGGGGATTTTTGTGCGCTATTTACCGAAAATCGGAAGAATGTATATATGGAAGCTATATCTAAATCTGAACCGATTTTCACGAAACTTAACACACATCTTTTTAGACTCAAGTCAGTACGCTATGCCAAATTTCGTGCAAATCGAAGGATATATGGGGATTTTTGTGCTCTATTTACCTAAAATCGGAAGAATGTATATATGGGAGCTAAATCGAAATCTGAACCGATTTTCACGAAACTTACCACACATCATTCTAGACTCAATTCAGTACGCTATGCCAAATTTCGTGCAAATCGAAGGATATAAAGGTACTTTGGGCACCATTTACGTCAAATCGGACGAAAATATATATGGGAGCTATATCTAAATCTGAATCAATTTTTCCCAATTTCAATAGGGTTCGTCCTTGGGCTAAATAAATGAGCTGTGCCAAATTTCATCCAATTCCAATAAAAATGCGACCTGTACTTTGTTTACAATTTAACATGGACGGACGGGCATGCCTAAATCGACTTAAAAGTGATTTTGTGCATATTCTCAAAAGGAACCATGTGTCTAACCCATTTCCTTTCGCCTGTTGCAAACATAAGCACAAAGACATAATACCCTGTGCCACAGTGTGGTGAAGGATATAAATACATAGTAATGTAATTTAATGTCCTTTACAGTGGAGTTGCCATTTTACTGGTTTCCATATTATTTATGCAAATCTCCACTTTTTTCTCTATGTTACCTCAGAAGCCTTAAAAGGATTTAACTTCTAATTTAAGGGTGAAGGAAAATTTCGTATTTTTTGAATTGTATAGTGAAGTTTTAACAGCATTTAAGGAAGAGGATTTTAATTATAACTCCTACATATTAAAAAAAAATTCTGCCAAGGTCTTTTATAAATTGAGGGGGAATTGAATACTATAAACTCCATAATTTTCACATTTTTTTTTTTTAATTTTATTGAATGAAAGCAAAAAATGTCGGAAATAGCATCAAATTTTAGAATATGTTTAGATTTGTTCGAATTGGTCAGGTTTGGCACGAATTATGGCCTTCAAACGGCCAATGAAACCTTCAAACGCTGCCCAAATGTTGCTCTGCGATATTTTGGCCCATAACCATCGAAGCCCTTCCTTGAGGTGATCGACACTTTAGTATTGCTTTCCAGAATACTCCAGACACAATAGTCCAACGGATTGGTATCCGGAGATTTTGGTGGCCATTGTGCACTGGAAATGAAGCGATGAACCTCATTTTGTAACCATTCTTGGCTGGCGCGTGCTGAGTGCTGTTGGAATGTCCAAGGTCTGCGGCCAAAATGTTTGCTTACCCAAGGCTTTAATACACCCTCCAGAATTTCGCGATAATATTCGGCATTTATTTTGATGCCACGGTCGATTAATACGAGCGGAGAGCGACCATCGGCTGTTATGGCGGCCCACACCATCACCATGGCCGGCGATTGAGTTCTGGTGGCCAACCGAAGGTGCACATTTTCTGACCTGACCTCTTTGGCAAGTAAAAACGATAATTTTGTTTCTTTGCAAATTGCTGGGCAACGAAGGGTTTTGTCATCACAGAAAACTTAATTCGGCAGTTCCCCACTTTCGGTCAAGCGATGCAACTCTTTAGCTCTGTTGTATCTATTTTCTTTGCATCTTTTTGCATATGTTTATAACAGACAAAATATAGAATAGAATATGCTTTGAATCACTTTCGAAGTCGATTTATGCATGTCCGTCGGTCCATGTTAAATTGTAACAAACTACCGGTCACATTTATCATCTGAATTGGATGAAATTTGGAACAGCTCATTTATTTGGCCTAGGGACGAATCCTATTGAAATTAAGAAAAAATCGGTTCCGATTTAGATATAGCTCCCATACAAATTGTCGGCCGATTTAATGTAAAGGGTGCACCAAAGTCCCTTGTATATCTTTCGATTTGCACGAAATTTGGCATAGGGTACTGAATTGTGTCTAGAAATATGTGTGCTAAGTTTCGTGAAAATCGGTTTAGATTTATATATTTATATATATTTTCGTCCGATTTAATATAAATGGTTTACTAAAGTCTCTATATATCTTTCGATTTGCACGAAATTTGGCATAGCGTACTAAATTGAGTCAAGAGTGGTGTACGTTAAGTTTGGTGAAAACCGGTTCTGATTTAGATATAGCTCCCACATATGTTTTCTACCGATTTTATATAAATTGTGCAAAGACTAACATTTTGTCCGATTGGCACAAAATTTTGTGCAATATAATTTCAATACTTTCTAAACATTATTATAATTACGATATCTAAATAATATACTAACCATTTTGTCTTTCTTTTTGATTTCCACCCTAGGTCCGAACTCATTCACAATACAACATCAACGGAATTGTATGAACGTGATGCCCTACAATTCTATGAGGATTTAAAACAGAAACTCATCCCCCTGAGCAACGATAATTTAATCAAATTTAAACTTGCCGAAATTTGTACTAGTGTCGCTCAAACACCAGCCGTGGAGCTATATACACACGTTCGTACCGGTCTTCAGCGTGAAATACAGCTGTTAGACCAAATGCCCCAATATTCGTATGTGGGTGGTGTGCCAGTTAACGGCTCGGCTGTAGGTACACCCGGTATGTTGGGCGGTGGTGGTGGTAGTATACCCGTTGTCCCCGGCATGCACACCCCAACAATGGCTACAAGTGCTAATGGTGCCGGCACATACGCTGGCGATACATTGTATGCTGCCCACAGTTCCATACCCAAACTGGGCATGAGTATCAATTCGATTTTTGCCGATATCCAACAATTTGCCCGCAACTATGAGGCATTTCATAATTGTTTCACCAGCTACAATCAACGTAAACAGCACATGACCCAACAGGATATACAGTTGCAGGATCTACAGCTACAGGAACAATGTCGCATTTTGGCCAGTACCCGTAGTAGCATTTTGCAGGACATCAAACGGGTGATTTTCGATTATGATTCCATACAGGAGACGGTGATAAATGAATTGAAAAATTGGCAACGTAATCAAGCGTTGGCCGGTAATGGAGCACCATTCCGCGATAATTTGGATGATATACAACGTTGCATCGAACTGCTGGTCGAGCTGGTGGGCAAGATATTGGATAATGTCAATACCATGAATCAAATACGTTTGGATAATAACGATGAAATCAGTGATATAATTGCCCATGTACGGCAGTCACAACAGTTGTTGGTTCTGTCATCGTTTATTGTGGAGAAACAGCCGCCTCAGGTTATGAAAACCAATACCAGGTAAGTTTTACTACAGAGAATATTATCAACTAATTATGCGTAACTTACCACCATTGTTGGTGTTGTTAAGCAAATGATGTGGAAGAGGAGATAAACAGACAAATCTATCCATATCCATGTATTTCGGTATGTGTGTGTGTGTTTGTTTGCCTCTATGCATTTCCTGATGCTTATCATCATCATCCTTATGATTGTCATGATTGATAGTCTCTGCTAATTGGGTTTCATATTTCATTTTATTATAGATTTGCTGCCGGTGTACGATGGCTGATTGGACCACAATTGGGCATCAGTGTTAATGGCCCTCAAGTTGAGTGCATAATTTTATCAGGTATGTAACCACAATTTAACAACAACATCAACAACAACTACATTAAATGACATAAATTCAATTGAATTTTTCAACGAGTTGATATTGGGTGGGTGTCAGTTATCCATCAATTTTCGTTAGCTATGTATAGCCTGCAGAGTCATTTGTACTGATTATGACAACAACTGATGATGATTATAAATATATTTCGAAATAATTGAAACCTTTATAACAGTGAAATTCAATGCACAACATAAAATGGAAGGATTTATTTGAGTAAGCTACGGGATTTTTGTAAATACATTCACAAATAAAAAAATATTTGAGATAAATTAAATATTTTTGAAGCGAATACATATTTGAATATCCTCGGCCTTTAGGGTTAATGATGGATTTTGTTAGATTCCAAATAAAACCGTTCCAAGCAATTTAGGGTCAAAAATCCTCGCTTCTTAGGGTTAATGATGAATATTTTTAAGATTCCAATTAAAACCTTTCCAGGCAATTTAGAGTTGAAAATAGCAACGTCCGTCTGTTGGGCTAGTACTCCTGCAAACTGTTGATATATGTTAGAGGTTTGGCCTATATATTTTTGAGAAGATTTGAACTATCGGTTTCCTCCATTTTGCAGTCGAAATGATATTTCAATGATTGCCATAGAGGACCCAAACAGACGACGTTGATAAAGATAAACCTATTCCTAAGTTCCTCAACTACATAATTCTTAAGATTTTTTTATGCGTGTTACGTTTGTAGAATGCCCAATTCCAAGAACATTCCCGGGGTTTCTTCAACACAATATTGGCAATTATTGTTTATATTCTTCACCACACTGTGGTACAAGGTATAATGTCTTTGGGCATATATTTGTAACAGGAATCGAGATAGATCCATTGTTCCTTTTGAGAATATGCATAGAATTCCTCCCAATTATGCACCGAATGAGAAAAAATTCTGCATAGTGATCCTATAAAAATATATTTCAAAAATCCACGCTTTTATGAGACTTTTAAAAATGTTTTTTTATCCATGCCTTATTTGAAACTCTATAAAAAAAATATATATATATATATATATATTTTTAAATCCATGCCTTATACGAGAGATTGATTTTTTGTTGGAATCGGTTCAGATTTCGATATAGCTCCCATATGTAGTTTCGTTCGATTTTATGTAAATGGAGCTCGATGGAGCCAATATTGGTCCAATTGAGTCAAAATTCTGCACAGCGTACTGAATTAGGTCCAGATTGATATATGCGAAGTTTTGTTGGAATCGGTTCAGATTTCGATATAACTCCCATATATAGTTTCGTTCGATTTTATGTAAATGGAGCTCCAATATTGAAGCGATTGAGACACAATTTTGCGTAGCGTATTGAACTTACTACAGGTTGACATCCGTGGAGTTTTGTTGGAATCGGTTCAGATTTAGATATAACTTCCATATATAGTTTCGTCAGATTTTATGATGCACAAAACTCCCAATATTGGTCTGATTGAAACAAAATTCTGCACAGAGTACTGAATTGGGTCCAGATTGATGTATGAGGAGTTTTGTTGGAGTCGGTTCATATATAGTTTCGTCCGATTTTATGTAAATGGAGCACCATACTGCCAATATTTGACCGATTAAGACAAAATTGCAGAGCGTACTGAATTATTTCCAAATTTATGTATGCGAAGTTTTGTTGGAATCGGTTCAGATTTAAATATAACTCCCATATATAGTTTCGTTCGATTTTATGTAAATGAAGCACCATACTGCCAATATTTGACCGATTGAGACATTGAGACGAAATATCCTAAATCATTTTTTTTTGCCTGAGGACACGGGCCTTAATCATAAACAACTTTTTGAGGTGCTCAGGCTCCGTTCGAATACATTCGGTACCCTGGAGATCACTTTACGAAGGATGTGACAGGTTGACAACTGGTGCAGTTTTCAACCTAACTAGTGTAGAAAGCCGACGAGCTGCAACTGGACTTCAGTGGCTTCGAAGTGAGAGCCGAAATCTCCCACATTTATAACTATCCAATATCATTAGAGCCAACAATATTGGAATCTATGGCAAACATTTCTGATGTTATGAAATGTTTTGCAAAGAGATTTTGTAACATACCACATACCAGAAATACTAAATTGCTGAATCGGAAACATTTTCTATTATCCTGATTTTTTTATAATTTTTTTAGCATAATTTCATATTTAATTAGAACTATCTTTGATTTGATAATTATGGTGTTGTTCTTGTTCTTCTTCATTTTCAATTTAGTATTCTTTGATTGAGTCACTGCATTCAGAAAGGTTATAATTTTTTATTCGAATGACAAATTTGTTAACTACAATATTAGCAAACCTAATTACTTACACAATTTCCTTTGGTAATTCGATCTGTTCTTGGATTTCATTTTAAAAAACATTGATTTCTCGCCTAAGAAAATGGTGTAATTTGTGTACTAAATAAAAAACTTTACATTTCCCCCACTCCAAAATGGTTCCCCATTACAAAAAAAATACAACAAATAATAACTCTGTAAAACTTAATCGACTTCACGTTGCGCTCCTAAAAAAACAATTACTTAGCAACGACAGCAACAACAAAAGATCATAAAACGTTTTTTATTACAATTTGTTGTTGCTTTTTTTAATGTCTATTTTGTATTGTGATGTCTTGATGAGGTGTCACGTTTAGATTTTTTAAGTTTTGCAATTTAAGTAATAACAATAGTCTGATTAGTTTGTTAACTATGTAACTGGGTTTATGGGTGGAATGTTCTTAAAATGATTAGGCTGGAAAGTAGCACTTGGCATTTTATATACAAGATTTATAAATATATATTAAAAAGCATTTAAGCAATTGAATCGATCGGGCCAAGCTCAAAGCTTTGGTTGGTTGATATAGCACTTCGAATGGCACTTAAAAACAGTACCGCCAATTGTTGTAGTTTCGTAACTGAGCATACTACACTCATTACATCTCACCACCCCAGCCCTAAACAGATCCTCTCACGTTTGGGTGTTTTGTTCAACGTATCTCAGAATATGAGCTGATGAGCCCGGAGTCTAGTGCTAGAGTCAAGTTCTAACCACCTCATTAATAATCATTTTTTTCGTCGAAGAAGTGTCACCATATTTTACAATGGGTGGCGTTGGACCCTGATGAAAATGTTGAATCAACCACGAAGTCTAGAGATTGGTTAGAATGCTTCAGCTAATGAAGCCAAAATCATACGAATGAAGCCAAAGCATACAACAATGAGAACCTAATTCAGTACTCTGTGGAAAATGTTGACTCAATCGAACAAACATTGGTAGTATGATGCTTCATTTACCTAAAATCGGACGAAACTATATATGAGACCTATATCTAAATCTGAACGGATACCAACGAAACTTCACATACATCAATCAGAACCTAATATAGAACTCTATGCAAAATGTTGTCTCTATAGGACAAATATTGGTAGTATGGTGCTCCATTTTCATAAAATCGGACGAAACTATATATGGGAGCTAAATCAAAATCTGAACAGATTTCTACAAAACTTCACGAACATCAACGTGTAGTAATTTCATTTCGCTATGCAAAATGTTATCCCAATCGGACAAACATTGGCAGTGTGGTGCTCCATTTACATAAAATCGGACGAAACTATATATGGGAGTTATATCTAAATTTAAACCGATTCCAACAAAACTTCTCATACATCTATCAGGATTTAATTCAGTACGCTGTTAAAAATTTTGTATCTATCGGACAAATATTGTCAGTATGGTGCTTCATTTACATAAAATCGGACGAAACTATATACGGGAGCTATATCTAAATCTGAACCGATTTTCAAGAAATTTTCCACACATCATTTTTGATTCAAGTCAGTGCAATATGCCAACTTTTGTGCAAATCGAAAGATATATACGGACTTCGGTACACCATTTGCATTGAATCGGGCGAAACTATATATGTGAGCTATATTTAAATCTGAACCGATTTTCACAAAACTAAACACACATCATTCTATACTTAATTCAGTACGCTATGTCAAATTTCGTCCAAATCGAAAGATATATAGGGACTTTAGTGAACCTTTTACATTAAATCGGATGAAGATATATATGGGAGCTATATCTAAATCTGAACCGATTTTCACAAAACTTAACACACATCATTCTAGACTTAATTCAGTACGCTATGTCAAATTTCGTCCAAATCGGAAGATATATAGGGACTTTGGTGAACCATTTACATTAAATATATATGAGACCTATATCTAAATCTGAACCGATTTTCACGAAACTTTACACACATCATTCTAGACTTAATTCAGTACGCTATGTCAAATTTCGTCCAAATCGAAAGATATATAGGGACTTTGGTGAACCTTTTACATTAAATCGGACGAAAATATATATAGGAGCTATATCTAAATCTGAACCGATTTTCACAAAACTTAACACATATAATTCTAGACTTAATTCCGTACACTATTCCAAATTTCGTCCAAATCGAAAGATATATAGGGACTTTGGTGAACCATTTACATTAAATCGGGCGAAAATATATATGAGAACTATATCGAAATCTGAACCGATTTTCACGAAACTTAACACACATCATTCTAGACTTAATTCAGTACGCTATGTCAAATTTCGTCCAAATCGAAAGATATATAGGGACTTTAGTGAACCTTTTACATTAAATCGGATGAAGATATATATGGGAGCTATATCTAAATCTGAACCGATTTTCACAAAACTTAACACACATCATTCTAGACTTAATTCAGTACGCTATGTCAAATTTCGTCCAAATCGGAAGATATATAGGGACTTTGGTGAACCATTTACATTAAATATATATGAGACCTATATCTAAATCTGAACCGATTTTCACGAAACTTTACACACATCATTCTAGACTTAATTCAGTACGCTATGTCAAATTTCGTCCAAATCGAAAGATATATAGGGACTTTGGTGAACCTTTTACATTAAATCGGACGAAAATATATATAGGAGCTATATCTAAATCTGAACCGATTTTCACAAAACTTAACACATATAATTCTAGACTTAATTCCGTACACTATTCCAAATTTCGTCCAAATCGAAAGATATATAGGGACTTTGGTGAACCATTTACATTAAATCGGGCGAAAATATATATGAGAACTATATCGAAATCTGAACCGATTTTCACGAAACTTAACACACATCATTCTAGACTTAATTCAGTACGCTATGTCAAATTGCGTCCTAATCGAAAGATATATAGGGACTTTGGTGAACCATTTACATTAAATCGGGCGAAAATATATATGAGAGCTATATCTAAATATCAACCGATTTTCACGAAACTTAACACACATCATTCTAGACTTAGTTCAGTACGCTATTCCAAATTTCGTCCAAATCGAAAGATATATAGGGACATTGGTGAACCTTTTACATTAAATCGGACGAAAATATATATGGGAGCTATATCTAAATCTGAACCGATTTTCACAAAACTTAACACACATCATTCTAGACTTAATTCCGTACGCTATTCCAAATTTCGTCCAAATCGATAGATAGATATATGCGACCTGTAATAATTTGTTTACAATTTAATATGGACGTAAAGACGGAGGAAATGCATAAATCGACTTAGGAAGTGATTCTATGCATATTCTCAACAGAAACCATGTCTCTATCTCGTTTCCATTTGTCCGTTACAAACATATGCACATGTCGCCAACACATCTTAATTACGATTTAATTATTCGACAGATTTTAATTCCATCTTAATGCCTTAATTAAATTTCACTTGAGATATAAAAGAAATGTCCACTCTTCAAAGTATGTTTAAAACAAGAAATTAATTTCTATCTTGATTTTACGAAATTTTAAAAGTACATGGGTTTCCAGTTTTAAATGTCGTATTTTTTTAATGTTTGCCTTCAGATGTTTATAAATGTTTGTTTGTATACACACAAATATTGCCTAGCTTCCACGAATCCTCCTTCAACATGATGTGTACAAAGCCTCTTTGATGATATTATTTGGAACCTTTTGATCGTCAATAACATCCTTAAGCAAAAGAGTGTCAGTCATTCCCTTCATTAAAACCATTGCCATTGAAATTGAGTAATTTTTAAGAATTTAAATTTAATAAATTTATTATTAGTTTCAACCGATAAAATTTTACCATTAACCACCACATGTGTGTGTGTGTGAGTCATTCACACATGTAAATCTAAATATAAATATTGCTATATATTTATATTAAATTAAATGTGAAATGCAATTATTATTTATTATATTGTTTTCATATTATATTGAATTTATATATGATGATGTTTGTAAAACAACATAGCTTCTGAAAGGAAGCAAATAATCAAATATTTATTTTTTTCTTAATTTACTTTCATAAATTTTTAAGAAATGAATTTATTTAAATTCCGCTCTTTTTGTCAATTGTGTATGTATGTATTTTGTTTTTATTCTCCTTCTCAAAAATGCATATTAAAATTAATTATTTAGAACAAAGCATTAATTAAATGCATTTAAATTTCCGATTAAACGTTACAAAATATAACAACAGCACCAACAACAAAACTTAAACTAAATTGTTTGCATAAATTAAATTGTTCATCTCATATCAGTTGGTTGGGTGGGTCTGTTGCCGCCGTAACTTTGCTAAATACCTGATTCCCTCATTCTCTGTCTCGTTTTGCCTAACAACGACGGCAACGACAGAACATCGATGCTGTGACGTCGACGATTATATTTTTGTAAACTCATTTACATTTTGCATTGGAAATTACAAATTGCAACAACCACAACAACAACGGTGACAAAGTTCCCGGAAATACATCAATGCACCATTAGGAGAATATGCAAATGGTGGTGGTGATGGTGGTGTGGCATCCCTGGTAAACCAACATTAACCTGAAAACAAATACCAAACTCTGGCAGAAGACGACAGACACACATACGCACTCGATACCACACATTAGTTGCTGCTGCCTGCTCAGAACATTTTGTGTGGGGTAGTTACTAGCCGAATTTCCCTCCACAGCTTTCGGGCTTTGCTCTATCTATGGAAACTATTAACAGAGAATAATAGTTGCTGGTTAACAGCAACCTATTATGACTTCATTTCAGTTCCAATCAAGTTCAAAGGAGATTATTCTCATTTGTACATACATAACGGGTTGTAGTTGCTGGTAATTGGGGGTAGGGTACAATAAATTTGGTTAACAATTTAGAGGAAGGGCACCTAATGAATTTTTTGCAGTCTATTAGTTTGTCATAAAAGAACTTCTCATGGTCTTCTGTGAAATGATGTCCCACCTCATGGTATTCTTTGACAAGATGACCCACCTAATGGATCTTCTGAGAGAAGATGACCTCATTGCCTTCCAAGATCCTGTGTGGAAACTCCCCTTTTAAACAAGTTTTAAAAAAAATCCCGGCTTTCCTGAGAAACGAGTTCAAAAAAATCCACGCCTCTGCTGAATACAAAACCGTAAACTCCTCGCACTTGATACTGTAGAAGACCTCAGGGTCTTTTATACAATTGTGACATATATAGTCTTTCATAAGAAGAAGAAGACCACATGGCATTCTATGAGTAGAAGTGCGTTCTCATGGTTTTCTGTGAGATGACCGCATTGATCTGTATGAGTTGACCTCATGATATTCTATTAGAAGTAGAGGGGCTCGTGTTCTCATATGAGATGAAGTCCTCCTGATGTCATCTATAAGAAAAAGAAATCATGGACGGAGATTATACCTATTTCTAAAAACCTTGTGGTCTTCTTCTCTTCCACGAGATATGATAAGGTCTCGTGGACATATATGACTAGTCCCCATGGTCTTATGTGAGAAGAACGCTTTGTAATCTTTAAGATGATCCCATCATATTCTAGGTAAAAAAATGAAAGGAAGAAAAGACCTATAGGTCTTAAATCTAAGACTTTAGTCATCTTTAGATGATTTCATCATATTCTAGCTAAAATAAAGAAGAAATCTAAGCCTTTAGTAGTCCTGGAAAGTAAAATTATAGCATCTCGACGCCTGAACCTTGAAAAAAAAAAAATAAAATCCACGCCAGGTCTTGGAAACAATTAAAAAATCTCCGATTGACTAGTTTCGGAAAACATTTTTTATATTCCGCGCTTAGCTAGTTATCAAAAAATAGTTTTTTTTTTAAACTACACACCTGGATAGTTCTTGAAAAATATCTTTCAAAGAATAAGCCCCTTAAATATTCCGCACTTGTCTAGTTCAAAAAATAGTTGTTTCTTTGAAAACTTTGAAAACAAAGAGGCAAGTGCTCTTGCGAAACATTTTTTAAATAATGCATTTTTGTATAATCTTTTAAAATGTTTTTTTTTAATCCTATGGCCAAATTAAGAATTACTTAACCTTACCCCGCATTTAATAAACCCATCCCCGTTTCACAAAATTTCCAATTACCAATAACAAAACATTGTTAACTCTTCAATTATATGGTTCAATGCTGGAATTTGCAAAGTCAATCAGCGTCATCATCATCATTGTTGTTGGTGTTGTCATTATCCACGATGTTGTTGTTGTCATTATCATCGTTACATCTCTGTTTACAAAATGTGTAATGTCATGATGTAAATATTCGGCCTACACACGTACATAAAAATATCTGCACATTGGACTTTACTAATAGTTGTTATGTTTGTTTCTGTTCTTTTTTCTATCCCGCAGAGGCTCAGGCTCAACGTCATTCCGCACAACGTACAATGCCTGACTCATCCAGCAGTACACCAGCCTCATCCGGTGAAATTGTGAATAACGTTGGCAATATGGAATATAATACCCAGACACGTGTATTTTCCGCCAGTTTCAGGTATGTACAAATGAGGCTATACTCATGTTACTATCTCCCCCCAAAAAACGCCCACCCAACTTATTACATGCTGAAATTCATTCATTCAGTGTTTTGTAAGGTTCTTGTAATAAGTGTGATGGGTTCTGGTGAAATTTAGCAAAGATGGGGGCGACACAATATCGTTATTATCATCAGGGTCGTCTTCCAATCTCATAATTTATTTTTCCTCATTTTCCACTTATCTTGTTATTTTTACGAATTATTCTACTTCTTCTCTATTTTTAGAACAATGCAATTGAAGAAAATCAAACGTGCCGAAAAGAAGGGCACCGAAAGTGTCATGGATGAAAAATTTGCTTTATTATTTTATACATCGGTTGTAGTAAATGATTATAGGATTAGGGTAAGTGCGTATTACACGCAATCGAGTTATAACCTGCATAACAAAATTATTATTCAATTCGTTTTTTTCCTCCTACAGGTCTGGACATTGTCATTGCCGGTTGTCGTCATTGTCCATGGTAATCAGGAGCCACAGTCATGGGCAACAATTACATGGGATAATGCTTTTTCGGATATTGTACGTGAACCTTTTCAAGTGCCCGAACGTGTAGCGTGGTCTCAGCTAGCCTTGGCATTGAATACCAAATTTGAGTCATCAACTGGTCGTGCCCTAACCGAAGACAATTTGAATTTTTTGCGTAAGTAAAGGGGGCGGAAAGGAAATCAATGATAAGACCGCACGATCTTCTATGAGATGATTGCTATTCTAGTATGGTAAAACCTATTGGTCTTCTACGAGAAGACTTTTTGATCATCTATGAGAAGACCCGTAGGTCTTCTATGAAAATACCTAATGGTCTTCCACATGACCTCATAGCCTTCTACATCAGAAGATAGATCTCAGAGTATTCTATATGAGAGGACCTCAGGGCCTTCTTTATAAGAAGACCTCGTGGTTTTCTTTATAAGAAGACCTCATGGTTTTCTCATAGGGAAGACCTCATGGCCTTCTTTATGAGAAGACCACATCGTCTTTTTAGGAGATGACTTCATGGTATTCTTTATAAGAAGTCTTCATTGTTTTCCATATGTAATGGTCTTCTCATTTAGACCTTTTGTATCATAATCTTTTTTAAAAACAAAACTTCATGATTGTCTCATAGAAGATGTTGACAATTAATATAAGACGAGCTCATATTATTCTATATAAAAAGTCTTAGAGGTACACCTCTTACCGATTTGAAAACCCAATTTTTTTTCAAATTTTATTAACATTTCTTTCTTCCCTCCCCCTCCTTTTTTTCAACAGATGAAAAACTATTCCGCCGCAATATTATCAATGGCGAAGAAGATTACATAACCTGGGCGCAATTTTGTAAGGAACCCTTGCCCGATCGTTCGTTTACATTTTGGGATTGGTTCTTTGCCATTATGAAATTAACCAAAGATCATTTATTAAGTTTATGGAAAGCTGGTCTCATTGTCGGTTTCATTAATAAGAGTAAAGCCGAACGGACACTCAAGGAGCATGTGGGTGGTACATTTTTGTTGCGATTCTCGGATAGTGAATTGGGTAAGTTGCACATTTTTAAATAGCTATTAGTTAAATTAATAATTTTATTTAATTGCATTTCTTTTTAGGTGGTATTACCGTGGGTTTCGTCAACGATCAAAATGGTGTGCTAATGCTTTCGCCATGGACTGCCCGCGATCTAAATATACGCGGCCTAGCCGATCGTATACATGATTTGGATGTATTACGTTATGTCTATCCCACAAATCGTTTGCGCGATGAAGCTTTTCATGAATTTTATACACAACGAATGGGTAAGTTTTAGATTGATAAATATTTAGAAAGTAAATTATGAAGGGGAATGATTTGAAAATAGTTTTCAATGAAAAGAAGATCGTCCGATCATCTATGACAAGAAGGAAGACCTCATGGTCTTCTATGAGATGAACTCTTGATATCCAATAAAAAATATGCGTTCTTTATAATATAAAAAAATTAAATCTAAATTGTTCGCTAATCAATTTTATTATTTTTCTTTTGCAGATGAAAATACCCGTCGTGATGGCTATGTTACAAACACCATTCGCGCTCATGTACCGGCCATTGAAAATAATTTTGGTGGTGTTACACCTCAGCACAATATGCAATCACCCCATCCACAAGATATACAAATGGGAAAGTAAGTACAAAATTGTTCCTTAATTTTTCTTCTATACTCTGCAATAGAAATTCATTATCGCAAACCGCAATAAAAAATTAAAATCATGACAAATAATCACCATCACACGAAAACTAACGACAAACACCATTTACTTTTGTGTTTTTTTTATTACACATTTCATTTAGTTGTTACTTTTTTAATTTAGATTTAATTTGTTTATAAAAATAAATTTACTAATTTAATATAGAAAAACAAATTTTAGCTTAGCAACAACATTACTGGCAATACTTTGAATTTACATTTTATAATCTATTGTATTAAAAGGATTTGAGAAGCATACATTTTTCACTTTGCTTTGCTTTAGGCTTTTAGTTAGTCCATAGCTTTTAGTTTAAGAACAAAAACAAAATGTTTTAAACTTATTTAATGATTTATATATTTTGATTTGTTTTTTTCTTCCCTTCTACTTTCTAAACTATTATGATTTTCATGTGACCACTGACTGACAACATCGTGTGTATATGTTTTTGGGTGTAATGACATTACTTCTTCTTCTCCTTATAAAAAATATCCTACCAAACTCAAAAAGTGATAACACCACAACCAGCAGCCAAAGTCTCATAGATGATCTCTATTCAGCAGCGGGAGAAATTAACTGGGATATGATCTTATAGTCTAATTTCTATTGTGATCTAACATTAACGAACACACCACAACCACACACACACACACCCAACAAAGCATAGAACCCCAAAAGTCTGATTGTTGCCTAATTGAAATTATAAAAACAAAAAACAACAACTAAAACAAAAATATGAAATTGTTTATTATAATAATTATTATAATTTTTTCTAAATAATTTTCCTTTCTAAAAAAAAATGATTTTTTTTTTAATTTTAAATCTGAATAAGTTTCTCTTTGGATTATTTTGCTAAACTTTGAAAATAAAACCAACAAATCATCATAAATTTATTCCAACCAAAAAAAACAAACAAAGCAAGTGCCTTTCTTCTTCTTATTCTCTTCTCTTCAACAAAAATGTTCTACAACTGTGTTATGTAGAAAATATTCTTCTAACAAACAAAAGGTATTTAAAGTTTTTTCTTTATAAATATTTAATTTTTTATGGTTTGTTCCTCTTTCTTTTGATCTACTAAAACCCAATCAATATGTTTGCTTCAGCGAATTTAACAAAATTCATTCATAATTCATATTCCATTTTTCACCTGCTGCTGCTGTTTTAATTTTCGTCACGGCACTGAGCTCTAATTCATTTATCCATTAATTAAAAAAAAGAAAACCGAATGAAATGTACTGCTGTTCACATCTGTCCATCGCAGAATGTCTGTCTGTCATTCATATCCATCAATTAGTAGTTGGACATTTTTTCAACCACATCACATCTGTCTATGTCAGGACATTTTGTTTCTATTTCGTTTTGGGTGAACTAACAGTCGTCTATCAATCAATTAAATTAATTTTTTTTTCGCTTCAAATTGAATTTTTATAAAATATTGTAAATAATACCTTTTACTATCATAACTACTAACATGGGATAAAATTAAAAAAAAAAAGAAAATAAAAAAAATAATAATTAAAACGTCTTGTATTAAGGCATGCTGGGCATGGAGGCTTCATATTTGTTATGACTTTGAAAAGATATTGGCTCAAGAAAACTTTCTCAAGGATTGACAGAACCATTAGACTGGAATTTTGAAGGAGATTTTCTTAAGGATTGACAGAACTATAAGCGTGTTTTTTAAAGGATCTTTTTTGAAGGATCAACAGAACTTTAAGCGTGGATTTTTAAAGATAATTTTCTCAAAGGATCAAAACAACTATAAGCGTGAATTTTTAAAGATAATTTTCTCAAGAATCAAAAGAACTATAAGCGTGCATTTTTAAAGATAATAAATAAATAATGATAATGAATTTATAAAGGAAAATTTCTCAATGTTCGACAGAACTGTAATCGTAGATTTTTAAAGGAACTTTAAGCGTGAATTTTTAAAGGAACTTTAAGCGTGAATTTTTAAAGGAAATTTTTTCAAGGATCAAAAGAACTATAAGCGTGAATTTTTAAAGGAAAATTTCTCAAGGATCGACAGAACTAAGCGTAGGTTTTTAAAGGAGCTTTAAGCGCGAATTTTTAAAGGAAAATTTCTTAAGGATCGACAGAACTAAGCGTAGATTTTTAAAGGAGCTTTAAGCGTGAATTTTTAAAGGAAAATTTCTCAAGGATCGACAGAACTATAATCGTAGATTTTTAAAGGAACTTTAAGCGTGAATTTTTAAAGGAAAATTTCTCAAGGATCGACAGAACTAAGCGTAGATTTTTAAAGGAACTTTAAGCGTGAAATGTTAAAGGATATTTTCTAAAGGATCGTGGATTATTAAAGGACATTTTCTAAAGGATCGTGGATTATTAAAGGACATTTTCTAAAGGATCGTGGATTATTAAAGGACATTTTCTGAAAGATAGACAGAAGAACTGTAAACGTGGATGTTTAAAGGAAATTTTCTCAAGGACTGTCAGTAAAAGTAAAGACATATTTTGAAAATACAGTGTCAAAAAAGTTTTTTTTAAAGAATGTATTTTCAAGGAGAGAATTTATTCAGGGGAGAATTTTCTGAAAATTTTTCTCAAAAAAGGATTTTTTACATTATTTTCAGGGCAATCAATACTCTAAAATCGGATTTCGCTATGAATTCCATAATCTTAATTTTAATTTGTCATTCGGTTTACAACACGTCGAAATATTCACCGAGGACCCCATAAAATTCATATATTCATGATCAAAATGAGATTTTATATCCGTCAGTTTGTTGATATCACGATCTCGCAATATTCAAGATAGAGCTTTGAAAATTAGTCTCTCTAGTTTGGTATCGATTATGTGAACAGAATTTTTTCTAAGGGTCCTACAGGATTTTTTATGAGGATATTTTAGTTATGTTGACTATCGCCTTCACAATTATAACCAGCCAGGTTCTACAATTGTTACTTCTGTATTCCTGAAAGCTTATTTTTCGATATTGTATTCTCTCTCCAGGCGGTCTGTGTGTTTATCGAAGCAAAACTGTTGACGATCCATCTCCGAATTGTGATATTTAACTGGTGGAAAGAATTATTAAAAAATGGGTGTAGAGGTAATGTCTCGTGGCGTAACAATCTATTGGGCCCCAGAAATTCACAATATAGTTTTATGGAATATAAATGAGACGTCCATTATATTTATAAGACGTCCATTATATTTATATTTTTAAAGACACTGTTTCAAAGATCTATGATATCCTTTTGTTTTAAATTCAAAGTATTGTTAGTATTCCTATTTTTCATTTTGGTCTTCTATAATTTCAAATGACTCGAGTTACACTCATACACACATGCACACAATAAGTTCTTTCATAACTAACATACACTCATCATTCATCGACACTTTCAAAAATAACTAATGAAATGACATTTCTTTTCATTTCTCTAACACCCAACGCCAATTTATTCACAAATCCTGCAATTAACCAATTCTTTTCCATTAGCTTGCAAAATAGCACCATCATGCATCTTTAAATTTTATCCAAGAACAAAATGAACAGCGAAAAAGAAATATTTAATAAAAACCAAAAACAATAGAAAAATATATAAGAATAAAAATGTTTTTAAAGATAAGTAAAACAACAAATAAATATATAGCTCAAATATTAAAAAAAAAATAATAGGTAAATTTAAAATAAAAAAACACAATATTTACTAGACGAAAAAACAAATGATGGTATTACAATTTCAACTATAAGTGATGCATGTTTGTTGTTTCTACGCTGTAATTAATAATTAAATCTAAAATATACTGAAATTCTCTTCAATCATTGTACCTTTATTGTTTTTTTCTCATATATATAAATGCATCTAAGTTTTGTTTTCAAGTCATGAATTTTTGGATAAAATCTGTAAATTTAATAGTTGGTTTTGTTATTGTTGTTAACATTTTGTTGTTTTTTTTCACCTTTGCATGTTGTTGTTTAGTATTAAAACTGTAGTTTAATTTGGTATATATAGAAATATTCAAAAAATAAAATATTTTTTTTGGGAATATTTGAACAATTTTGTGTTAATATAAAAACAAGAATGATAACAGACAATTACAAATAAAATTAACAATTATAACATATACCAAATTAAAAATGTAATAACCAAATAGCAAATGTAAATTAAATGATAAAAAAATAAAAACTGAAATGTTATGACTGAAGCAGGTGATTATGGTGATCACAATTTTGTATTTGAGGAAGTAAAACGTTTTTCCTCAGAACAATCAATTTCCATTGAAACCAGGTGCAATCAGTATTTTATCCGTCGTAACTAAGTATACTAAATTATTGGCAAAGATACATTCCATAAAAAATATTCGTTATCCCTCTGATGATAGTTAATGCGATGCTTACTTGGGACTTTTTTTATACGAGTACTCATTGGTATATATGTACAATATATTTTGACTATTATAATCGAATAACGGATATATTATTCTTATAGGATTTTTGCGATAAATACTGTGAACGGCTTACAGCATGCGGTACCAGCCCATTTTGTTATAGCAATCATGTTTTTGGAAAAGATCAGAACCTTACTATTGCAATTCGAAATGGACTTAGACAATTCTTGGGAAACAATACAGAATAGAATAACACCGAAAAGCCCTAACAGCAACAGTTTTGAGAAAATAATCGAAAAAATTCCGAAATCAATTGAAAACTACGACTTAATAACGGAATGAGTCGACACTTTGCACCAAGTGACTCGTGCATAACCATGCAATAGAAAAACCAATCGCAAATTAATTTTGTTACCAATGTTCCATATTGTCCATTCCACTTAAGTACGAGTGAGAAGTTAAACAGTATATATAACTTGATATCACGGATACAGTTCCGTTGGATCCAGTGCTAAAATGCTGAACTGAAAATAATACATAAATTTTAGTATCTCAATAGTGAGCCAATATTTACAAGGACTGGCTACATAGGATGCACGGCAGCCGCTCCACTCGGAGACGTATTGTCCATTGTGATCATCCTAAGCTATAGAGTAGAAAGCTGAAAAATTAAAAGTTTATGGTGAAATAAGATGGGAAGAAGAGTAGATTAAAATTTTTAATTGAACCCTGCCAATTTCCTTGCAAAGCTGTAAATGTTGGAGAAAAAAAGTTAGCGTTTCTATATAGAATCTCCCAAAATGTCTATATCTTCTGCCTGGGTCATCGACAAAGTACATGTTCGATAGTTTCTATTTTCGTTCTCGCATAAACGTCAATAATCCACCTCATTAATCTCCCATTTTGAAAACGAGATCATGTTCCTCCAGGAACCTGTTATGATCACTCTATTTGTCCTTATCATAGTGACATCAATTGTTAAATCAAAGAACAGGATTATAACTTAATTAAATTTGATGCTGAGATCGGTATTAAGTGTGAATACTATTCCGACCTGTTCCATAGTTTCCTTAATATAGAGTTAATCTTTTATAACTTTGGACACTTCCCTAGATAATGCAGATCCTCTTTGACATGCATCTACCTCCGAAACGAAAGCATTTAGATGGTCCACCGGCATTATAAAGATTAAAAAATATATCTTGCGCGAACGATCTGTCTGATAGTATTTACAATTATATATTCCTCGAACTGACTATTGAGGCGATTTGAATTACGGCGGTTCATGTAGTATACAGCGTCGTCGTAAATTTTGTGGTAGATGTTTCAATACATATTTAAAACGACAAACCAACACAACGACCAGTTTTTGTTTAGACTTCTTGCCTGACTTCGGAATGTGGACCACCCTCCGCATTCCTAACCTGCATATTCAGGCCACTTGAATAACCGCAGTCTCCATGTGATGTACAACGTTGTCGTAAATTTTGTGGCAGTGGTTCTCATATTCTCCTTTGAAACAAAGCTTGTTGATCGATAAGAAATGTGTTCAAACTATCACATATGTCTTCATATGCGCGAACATTTCTAGTTTAAACTTCCTCGACTTATATGCGTCTCAGGAGTCTTTGTTTCTGGCGACAACAGCAAAATCGGTCAGCTTTTCAGGTATTCTTACCTGAAGTCAGTATCCGGACCAACCTGTTTATTTCCTGGCTTTGAAAAATTGAGAATTTGAATCAGATATTTCACCCCCGGTTCATCCAGCTATTTCACATTATAAAGATACTGCTGTAGGCTTGACTCGACGTAGAATTTATCGTCTCATTTCTCTTCGTGAATTGCCAGGGATTTAAGTAAGTAGAGCTAAAGTGCATATAGCACGCTTGGCTATATGATAAATTGATTACTTTAGTAAGGTACTCGGCTTCCGGTCCATCTAGCTGTTTGTTTCAGCATTAAAGTAGATATACCATAGTCTATACAGAGGTTAATATGGAGACGGCATTCGATACACAAAAGCCTTAGCCAGAATCGCATAAAGTGCTCGTCTCATTCCTCATTCCGTACTTTACATTATATGTACGGTTGAAATCGGTACCTATCCCACAGTACATTGGGGCTTTATATGTGAATCATGTGTCATTTAATGAAATAGATCTTAATGTCATCCCGTTCCTTCCTCGAAGAATTTTCAATAATTGTCAGGTGTTTTTGTACTCAATATCTTATATGGTAGCTATCCCACTGTACAGTGGAACTTTTTTATGCTATCAATCTAATGTCCTCTCGTTCCATCCCCTGAAGAAATTCGCTCTGGCTTAATTTGATAAGAGCTTCCTGTGAGTATTTTTTGAAATCTAGAGGCTGCTTCCATGGCGTTGCATGTGGGGTTTGGTCCTCCTCGGCCGTGTTTCTTGAGAATTAGATATTTACGCTGGAATTTTTGTAGGTTCAATACTCAATACCCGATAATGGTAGATATTCCACTCGACGTGGAGCACTGTAGTAATTTCACTCCTGCACTGAGGTAGTTTAAAATGATTCATTACTCGGTCCTTAGAAGGTCTGTTGTAATCACCCAGGGGCTAGAGGTCAGTGGCTTGAATTACTTTTATTCCAGTCACATGACCCTGGGTTAAGTGAAGTGGTATTGCTACTTTAAATTTTGGATAATGAGGTGAATGCATTTATCCTGGATTTTTTTTTTAATTTTTTAGTTCAAATTATTTTACAAAACTGTTTAAATATTTCCCATAATATTTCTTTTGTATACCTAACATAAATGTTAAGTATTTAATTGTTTGTTGTTATTGTTATAATTTTAAATTACTATTTTTTTTAATTTCTTTCAATTGTTCTTGACCTTTTATTTATTTCGTTTAATTTTTTCCTCCTTTTTTTACAGTGACAACATAAATTTTACGGACTTCGAGTCAATACTATATTGAACGAAAAAAAAAACAGAAACACTAAATAACAATTACTTATTAATTATTACTATATACATATTATTATATATATACATACATATACATACAAAACATAATTTTTATATTTTAAACATTTTAAAGAAAAAGAAAAAAAAACATGTAACGATATTTTTGGTTTTGTTAAAACATTAAACAAGAGAAACATAAAAGAAATTATTTTTTAAAAAGAAAGAAACCCACATATGAGAAAAACAAATTTTAAAAAGTGAAACAAAGTGAAAATATTTTAGAAAAACTAAACGTATTTTGAATACAACAAAGCATTTTATTGTCATATATAATATATAAATATTTTACAATAATAACAAATAAATAAATAAAAAATAAAATTGAAATACACATAACTATTTCATATACAATTTAAATAAATGTCGTCTTTGCACTACAATAAAAGAAAAAAGCAACATAAATAAAAAACATTGAGGTTAAATAAAATATATTTAAAAACAAAACAAATAACAACAAAGTCATACAACCACAAGTCAATACAAATTTAAATGTCAAAGAGAAAAAAACGCATATTTAAGAAAATAAAAAACAAGTCATCATACAATTTTTAAAGTAACGACGGTCCACCCTAATAAATATACACATGTATACTCTATAAACAAATATACAAAAAGTAAAATATTGGAATTTCCAACAAAAATAAAAATCGTAAACTCCGCCCAGAGAGAGCCCTGAGCTGCCCCAAGGGCACATCATTGCAAATAATACACTGAACACACTCAACGACTCACCACTCTATACCCCCAACCCCCAAACGGCCATGAGGAAAATATAGTCCTTCTCCAACAAAAAAACAAAAGCGTTAAATGTTTTTTAAAAACATCCCCCCAAACAACAAAAATTCGTTGAAAAATAAATTAAATGTAATGTTAATTAACACAAAATTAATTAATTTGAAAAATAAAGTTACATACCTACATATATGTTTTATTATAAAATTACATGATTTTATTTTATTTTTTTTTTTTGTTTCTTTGTCCTATCTATATTTTTTAACTTTAATTATAATAATAAAAAAATCAAATTTTGTTTTAAATACAAATAATTTTATTTTTAATAATGTATCAAATAAAAAAAATAAATATAAAATTATTTATATGGACTTTTTTATTTTTGGGAATGTGTGTATGTATGCATGACTATTTTTTTATTAATTGTATAAATGGTTTGTATAATTAATTTTTTGTTATAAACAGTAGATTCTCAATAAATGTTACATCGAAAATTTAAGAATTGTCTAATCGATCAATTAACACCTTTATTGTATATGATAATTATTTAAAATTGTAAACTATGGCCATCCAATTATCCACAAACCAGGACAGACCTGCATATTCATATACCTAAGTGGGGTACTGAACCAGATAAAGCCGTAAAACAAAACCAATATGGCAGCGCCTGGCCAATCGAAGATCTTATTACTGTCAGCCATGTCAAAGTGTTCGAGAGCATAGATAAGACTCTTCTGAACTAGAATCCAGTCAGTTTCAGGTCGTAGATGCTACTAAGGTGGACACAGAAATGGTTAGTTGTTGTAGCTATTTTAACTATTTTTTCCTTTTACTAATTTGATTCTGTTCTCTACACCAGGTTCAAATCGTTGGTGGCCTGTGCTAATCATCGAGTCCTGATGGAGATGGCGTTCTATTGAAATGTATCATATGGATCATTGCCGGCCAGATTTTTGAGCCATTTTATCAAATTATACAAATTCCACCATCATATTATAAGTAGTACCAACTTGAGTTTATCAATGTAGCTATTGTTCGTCTTCTGCTACTGATGGTGAGTAATCTCCAAATGCACTTTTTGTTTTGGAACTCTTTGATGGGGCTGTGAATGTAGAGGCTTCGGTTTGCGTATATGTGGTCCGTTCTCAGATCATGAAAAATGTCCTTACGTTTTTAGGTGGATGATTACTAACACGGCATTCCGGAAAATCGTATTTAATTGCTTTGCACTGAGGATGGTGGATAGATTCAAAGCCCAGGGATGGCAAGATAATTGAAACCCTTGTTTCTGCTTTTGACCTTATCACAGACAAAGATGTTTTGTACATTTCCTGTAAGACCGGCAAAAATCAAAAAGTTTAAGTTAATGATGCAGAATTCACATAATGTGGTGTTAAATATTTAGATGAATATCTTTTACACTCTCATTGAGAAGCTGTGGAAGTTCCTCTGTTCCTTGTATGGTGCGAGTAAATTGTAAACTTAAAACACATTTTTTGCAAATCGATTTTTTTAATTAAGCTGGTTTTGCAGCAAATAAACAATATAGTCCACCAATATATAAAACCCGAGAGCTGCTGATTGTCATATTTTTAATATATCATATCCATTCTAATTGTTTGAAAATTATAACAAGGTTTTCAATATCCATTTCCTATGAGCCCAGAGTTCAAGTATGAACATTTAGAACTTCTGACTAATTCAATTTGTTGAAAATGTGGGAGTGTCCCCTTGAACTGGTTATTAAACCAGGTGCCGTTAAGAGATACGTGCACTTTGGTGTGAATGTTGGTTGACGTCTTATATTGGCTGACGTGTAAAACATCGTGATTTTAGAACGGTGAAATACAGATTTTCGACATAACAGATGTCAGACATGCAGATGTAAAGTATACTATCAAGACGTCGACGAACGCTCCCACGCCAAAGTGCACTAATTCAAGAATGTCCCATTAATATTACAAGTGAAAATCTCATCAACTTTAAAAAATATAGCCGATATATTGTGCCAGCATCAAGTGACGACAAGAGTGCTTCTCAAGCTTCAATCGCGTTTTCCTCAAAGCAATGTTTTTACGAATGGCGGACAGGATAACTCAAAAACTAGTAATTGAATCTGTTACAAAATTTTAACATGTTGTTCTGTACATACATAGCTATCGTTTGGGCTAGGACAAATGTATTAGGTCAATGTCTTCCTGGAATAAAGTATGTTAGGTCCGATAGCCCCAGTTATTTTAATCGATAGTTTGTTGAAAATCCCGAGAGAGTGGTAGTGCCAAGCGATCACTAAGCACCACGTTGCAATTGTTATACAAAGTTGAAAGTCAGCTAAAATGTTGGATCCGAGCGGAAAAACTATGGTGAATGATCTGTTTGTCAATAACCTCATTACTCATCACTGTATATAATCATCATGAGTTCCGTTAACATGTTGATGACACATATTCATGTATGTCGAGGACTGAACAAGACCGAAGATGGACTTATGAAGATCAAATTTGAAGATGGATGAAAAAACAATTCCAAAATAGATATAACACTCTATTATATTATTACATGGTACTTATGATACCTCCCCCCAACACACCTGCATATTGTAGGAAGATAGGAGTTTTCGTCCATTAATTCTTGTACCTTCCCTCAAAGAGTCAAATTTTTGAAACCTTGTATGTCCAAATTTAAAAACAAAAAAATTATAGAATAACAACGGCATAGAATTTCCGATTTGATGTCAAATATGCACATCGTTATAATTTTTTCAAAATTGGAAGATAAGATCCACGGGTCCACTTCTTATGGTATCTCCCACACAAAATAGTCAAAATTTAGCTGAAAATTGCATTTAAAATACATGCGAACGGACTATCCGAATTGAATTAAACTTTTCACATCCCAATAAAATTGAAGACTTATAGGTCCATTTCTTTTAGTATCTTCCTCACAAAGGGCAACATTTTGAAAACTTGTACATTCACATGAATCGAACAGAATATCCTTCTGCTATATTCCGCACAGCGTCAACATTTTTAAATTTGTTAATCCAATATGAAGCTATTGGAATGATCAAACCTATATCAAGTCCGAAGATGGGAACCATTTTCCCACTCTCCACTACCACCAAAAAAACAAAACCTGTGTGTAATTCCGTAGACGTTTGCAAACCAAATAGCCAATAACAGCCTATGTTTTCGTATGCGGTGGCTTTTTAAGACTTTATGCTAAGTGCTATACTGTCTCCTTCAATAAATGAATAAAAATTCAAGTCATTACATTCTGTTATACTGAATGTGATCCTCTCTTGAAGATTCGTTTGAATTTAACTTAATTGGTGATTACGCTTATAAGTGATATATATGACGTGGAAACGATACTGTTTGTATTTGAAAGTTTTTTTTTTTTTTAATTTTTAGTGTGATAATCCCTGACAAATCGGAGAGAAGTTTATACACCGGTAATCAAAATTTTGTTTAAAAGATTTAATGGTGTTAAACAGTATGACAAAAAATATTTATAGTGAAAGGTGTAAGAATTGTTCCTGAGCACATAAATAAATACTGAATTTGAAATCTACTTGTATGTATAATACATATATATTTTTTTGCATGATTGTTTAATGTATTATATGAAATATATATTTTTCTACCCCCTGAGTATTTTATTGTTATCCCTCTATCCCTATATGTGTAATTTGTTTTAATCTTTGAATCCTTGATGTAGTTATCTCTACGTAATCTAGGTTGTGATTAAAAAAATAACGTCAGTATAACAACAACATCAGAAATACAACAATTATCTTAGACCACACAAAATAATATTGAGCTATTAAAACATGTCAATAAAATTGTGGATTTCTTAACACTCAACAAATTACAGATGAAATAATTGCAAGAAATACCAAATGAAAATAAAATATATTTACAAAATACATAAAAAAGGTATGAATGAACAAAAATACATTTTAACATGTTATTAAAATAAGTCAATAATTAGATTAAGGGAAATAATAAATAATTCAAAAACACAAATATCAGCAATGGAAGGGTACATATGTTCAATACTAAAATATTTTTTTTATTTATTGATATAAGGTTGTTTTTTAGAAATCTTTGGTTGATTTTCAAAAAAAAAAAATATATCATCATGTTTAAAATAATATTCTTCCATTGCTATTGTAATATTATTCCAAAATCGAATTGAAATAACGCCTACACAAAATATCGCAGAGTGACAAATTGTAATACAAAAAATATATATACACACAATATATTATA